TTCTGCGGGAAAAGCCGTCAAGGCTCTTTTACTCCCTTGGCTTTGGTGGCAGACGTTCGAAATGACAAATAGTGAGGTGCAGCCATTTCTCGCATGGTTATTGCGATTTGCTGTTCTAAACGCAGATATTGTCTGTGCACCAACGCAGACCGGGCATCTTCCCCGGGAACGTATATCTCTTGTTATCTTTAGAGTGCGAGCGTAAACAAGAGGTTCTCCGCATCATCGTCTTCGGCGTTGAAGCAAACTCCATGTTCTTACGTTCAAGCTGATAATGTTCAAACGCAATAAATGGTGTGAAGCTTTTTCCCTCCAGAGTGTGTGTAATGATAGTACAACGATGGTAAAGCAGTCAGGGCTTCGAAGATTTCATGCATATGATAAGTCAACCCCACTTCATCTCACTCCCCAAGAAGTTGCCTATAGAGGTTCGGCAATCCTCGTTGTGATTTTGTTATCATATTCGCGTCACAGCGAACTTAAGTTACGTATCACTGCCGAGAAAGCCCTCTGCGCTCTACCGCTACACCGTGGGGAAGTAATTTCTGCAAAACGTAATCGGTTCAAATTACGATGCGTGAAACGTATGTGTTTAGGGCGCCTCGACTAAACTTACAGCAATCGCGCTGATTCATAGAAACAAATTTTTGATGTCTAACTGAAAGGAGTAAGCAATATTCATCTCAATATACAACCCGAAAAGAAGGTGAGCAAAAAATAGGCTGCTGGAGCCACCTCACCGTGTCATAATTGTAAAAAAGAACCTTCAAAGTGGTTAATATTATCGTCTCTTCGAGTGCTTTCTTCATGGCCAAAAGAGATCGTCTGCTAATCTCCGGCATCGCTGCTATACTTTCTTTTTGCCGTAGACCAAGACGAAGCCAATCCGCGTTGTATCCAGGTGATTTTCTTGGCCGTTCCAAAATCGAGTCGCTGATCGTTTACTCGCAATATCACGTAGTATTACGCTCTCACGTAGGGTACAGGCTGCTCGTACAAGATTTGGAACATAGCCATAGAGATGCGCTGAACAAGCTTTTAAACCAAAGGGCCTCACTTATCTTATTTTTTTAGTTTTTGGACCTTGTTAACACAAATTTTAAGGCAGCACGCCACTGAAAAACCTAGCATGCTCCAAGTTTGGCAAATTAAGGTTCCTTAATTCTGCACAATGGAGTTTGCTCTGCGCAAGTTAGATTCAATGTGTGTTACTTTGTCACCAACTAGCCTAACACTTTTGTCGTTCGGCAGCGCCGAATCGCAAGACATGAACCCGAAATTCGCGATGTCAACCATGTACCTAAAGTGGAATGTAACGCTTGCATTTGCTCAATGATTAAGGTACCAAAATGCAGCGCTACAACCAAACCGTCAGATAGGGAAGCCTTACTCTGGTACTTGTTTGCGGACATGTAGGACAGAAATACAAACACTCTGCGCCCCCTCCCCCTAAAAAAAATCAGTTTTCATTCTATTACATGTTTTTGGGGCTTTCAGAGTCCTAAATGCCCAGACCAAAATGAAATGTTGACCCAAAGGTTTGCGCCACCTGGGTTGCGTCCACTATAGCGAACCGAGTAATAAACGACTTTACCCTTTTCGTTCCTGAACTAGCCGTCCATAGTTTGAGCTGCTGGTTTCTATATTGACGAGGCACATGCGCATTTTGGCATTTCAACCTCCGAAAGTATTATCTGCACAACGGTTTGTCCACATTATATGGGGTCCACACTATCGAAACATGGCTATAAGGTTTAGCACCAAAACATTCCGTTTTAGGGAAAATCTCGTCTCTTTTCGGGCCATTATGATATAGCAGCTTCGGTCTCAGCGCAACATATAAACTTGCCTTTGAATAGGAAAATACGCATTCAACGTTTGGCTTTTGTTCAAAGAGCCACGTAGTGTCTTTAAGCCATCTGCGCTTGTAACTTCATAAAATTCCTGAAGGCATGAAGCTCGGTTGGTGAGTTTCCATATCTTGATGTTACTGGCAGAAAAATCGAACTATAGGTAGCGCTTTGTTGGTCTTGCTTCCCATATAGCTCAGATTTTACCCAACCCAAGGCCCGTGCACCGCATTCTTTAGGTCTTTTATTTTGACGGGGCGTGGGGTAGGGATTGAAAACGAAGGCTGCGGCGGCCTTTGGATACATTATTAAACGCAATGTCCGAAACTAACAATATCTTATACTTCATCTCAACACCGCTGATGTGAACTGTTAGAGCGTGGCTATTTGATCTCCTGTGCAATGTGCATTTAATTGCAACGCCTTGGATGAATTCTTTACGCAGAATATTATAATGTGCGTGCTTTTCAAATTACAATACTATATGGGGCGTTTTTTGAAACATCAGAAAATGTCTCTACAAGAAGTACACATCGCGCGCACACACATAGACACAAATAAAAAGAATCGGTTTGTGTCAAAAGGCGCATTTTAGGGAAATAATAACGTTCATTATAGTTATTCGCTTAATTAGATTTAGAAAATTCACCTTTTAAGTAATATACTACAAGGTACTTTTAAAACTCATTGAGCGTCATCCAAAATCATAAATCAGCGCATCTTACAAGAATATAATGCATCCGCGGCGTTTTAAAGGGAAAATGGAGAGGTTCTGCATTAAAAAAAGAAAGAAACACACTTAAATCGTATTCATTTCGATTTCAGGATCATGAATATCGTGATGAGTTTTCAATGTGGTGCACAGAGGCTGCAGAAAATCATTTTAGAGTTACCGCTGAAGCCCCTCCTTCCCGGAGCGTGACGTCATATCCAGAGTTTTTGGAATTTTCGCTCTCGTGCATCTTCAGCACCTATCAAAACTACGCACGCGCACTCTTGCTATTTTCAAAAATGCAAAAAAAAAAAAAAAGTGCGCTCGGCGGTCGAAAGATGTGGGTATGACGTAACGACTGGTAAGTGGTCTTCGTGCTTTCCCGCGTTTACTTAGATCTTCGAGAAAAACGAACGTGATATTCAGATGCACGGAATAAAACAATGTAAGATTCATCTGTACCTCGTTTTCTTTTTTTCAAGAACCTCTTCAGTTTCTTTTTAAATAGTTAAAAAAAAAAACATTCAAATTGGACGTGTTTTTAGGTTCCGGTTTCTTATCAGAGCGTATCTTTGTGCCAGCAATCATACTCGTCACTTCCTGGATGAGTGAGCTTAAGTGTTGAATTTTCCTGCGTCAATAAAGAAGGCCACCGTAGGCCAAAGATTGAATACGACGTAAGCGTTCGGCTGAAAGTCGTATCCAATCAGCAGAATCTGTGACCTTCTTTAATGACGCAGGAGCGTTCAGCACTTAGGCTCTCTTATCTAGGAGGCGCTGTCCTACTACCCCTGGCAAAAGCCCGTAACTACCCCGTCGCCTCACGCGTAGGAGAAAAAGAAGTGTGGCGCGAGCCGTCGAAATGAAACGCGCTGTGGTCCGAATAAAAACAACGACAACAAGAAAAAGGTATGATTCTCCATGGCAATCATGCATGGAGCCGCACGTTAGTTGCGCGCTTCGGTCGCGGGAGAGCAGCACCGCTGGCACGGAGATACGTAGGTTTTAGTAATAAAACAACAACAAAAAGCTTGAAAACAAGTAAAAATATTTTAGGAAGGTTATAAAATGCTCCGCGTGCCACCTACTATTTTGAGGAACCCTAGCTAATGATCGTTTGACGATGCCAAGAAAATGTATTTCTAATTCAAGGCACACCTTTATCTTTACTTTTTAAACTAAATTAGTAAAATATAATAAGTAATCTAATTAGACCGAACGTTCATAAATTTTCTAAAATAACGTTTTGGAAGAATCCTATATAACATCAACATTCTGTCGGCACACTGTACTTTTTGCAAGAGCGATTAATCCCGCGTTTTGAGAAACACCCTGTAATTCGTTCCACCGTAAGTTCAGCGCAGTCTATGGCTGGAAAACACACAAGCGGAATAGCACATTCTAGAAGGGCAGGACGAATGACGATGTATTCCTATGTGCTCAATTGGCTGCTCCGGGAATAGCACACTCCCAACAATGCAACATACGACAAGATGTTGTGCTTTAAAGCTCAGCTTTGACTGGTATATAAATGAGGTGTAGATCGTACCATAGATATTAGCTTTGCAGAAATCTACTACCTCATACGCAGCAACTATGTAATTTTTAGTTTATAAATAGCGTTGCTACGGCTACCATTAGGAACCATTTCAGCTAATTGAATCCATTGAATGAAACCCATGAGCTTGATGCAACGTCGGGCAACGCGTCAGTACGGTAGTCATGGTCGCGTTGTTCATTAGGGCATTACGAGTATGTATCGTCCTCGCGTTGACTAATCTCTCTCTTAGGAAACTAATCTATTAATTACGTTTAGTAAATGTTATGCACACGTTTTTCAAATTCACGTGTTTAGTTTGCAAATAATTTGAAAGGATGAATAAAAACTAGAACCTAAATATTTTAATTTATTTGAGACAAAACATCGCAATACATTTCTGTGTTGTTTAGTGATGTATATGTTACAAGTTTTTGTTTGATACAGATATTCTTTTTGACATAGATATACAACTGTAAATAAATCAGCACAAAAATGTTTTTCCTTCCTGCAAAATACAAACAAACAAGGTTCAAGATAGAAAAAAACTAGCATTATAATGTAAGTTATACAATTGGTCGCCGTTGCTGGTCTCTGCTTTCATGGAACCATTGTATGAATACATTTCGGGGTAACTCGAAACAAATATTTTTTATGAGTTTATTAAACAATAGTCCAAATGCACGACTAAATAAACATTTCACAGATCCTAAGATAATATATAGGACATGACCCTTAGACACTGTGAGATTACGACGAGGATATGCTCAACATTGAGGAACGTTTTATTTCAGATGTAAGGTACTTTTTTCTAAAAGTGAATCTAAACATATAAAAAAAATATTCGCAGATATGCGGGAAACTCCGTGACAGCTTGAAGATTCGGCAGCTTGGCTCAATTATGAAGGTTGCTCTAGCCTTGACATTCTACACCCTTGAATTTCTGAAGAGTAAGTGTCAAAACACCAATGTAATAGCAGTAACGCTAGCTCAGCAATTTGGTAAATCTTGTGACATTGGGCAATCTAATATAAACGCGACGCCACAATCAATCTAAAATTACAAGTAAAAAGAAACACAAAATATTCTAATCCCGAGCGATTACACGGGAGTTTATATGGAACACAAGGTTTTCATGCTATTTAATATTTTTTTTATTTCTAAGTCGTCACCTTTTCTCACTTTTTAGCCTTCCAGGGTAAAGAGAACGACAAGTAGAGACACTTAAGACTGCTTTTGTGTGGAAATGCGAAAGCATGACGCACGCGCTAGGCACAGTGCTCGTCTCGTACGCCGATGGCCCAGGTTCGATTTCGACCCAGACCGAAATGTACGAAATTTTCTTTTCAAAGCCATTAGTTTACTTTGTTTGCAGAAACCTCCCTGAGAAATTTTTGACGTGTTTTTACTCTTAGCGCGGCGCCGCCAGCAGTTTGCTGACTCCTTAGCGATGATGCCGCCGTTGATATGGAGCCACATGACACGTCGCAGCCAGTGGGAATTTAGCTGCCGTTTTGCGCTTCTACAGACGGACTTTAGGTGCCGTTTTTCGCAGTTACAGACAACGCCGGTTTCGTTCTATGGGACGGTTAATTCTTTCGCCTTAAAATGAACATGATCACACACTGGGCACAGCTAATAGTCATGTTTTGTTTTAATGTATTTGATTTTTTGCTAATGATATAGGATATTTTGACAATAACAAACACACTGGAATGCACTATCAAAAGCAAGTATTTATGAAGGTTATTTCTGTTTTAATGGTATACTTCCGAGAATACATTCTTACACACGCCTCCTTAAGTTGCCACGATTAATAACGTTAGCATAACGAAATCTATTGTTTTTCTTCATTTTCCGCTGCTTTTTAATTTTCATTTAAAACTGAACGATATCGTATTGGTATGGACAAAATCAGAATACTCCCAAGATTTCTCGTTCTTTCAAACATCAAGAAGCATATATAGATACGGGTCCGGGAATTATGTATTGAAGGATCAGACCCCATGAAATCTGCAACGTAGATCTGACATGTATTGCGTTCCTTTGAAGCTTGGGCGTGGCCTGAGGAAAACTGCGGACAGAGCGTTCCCTCTGGCGGCCACATCGGACGCATTCTTGCAAGACAAAGTCGGCCAGCACGCAGTGGAGAGCATCCATGGACGGTGAGATTGTTAGTTTAAATAATTTAGTATGATCAATCGGTAGATGCTATTAATTATATTAATATTTGTAACTTCACGAAGAAATGTCAAAGCGCATCTATCACCCTCTTAATCCCTGACGTTTGTCTTTTTTTTTCTCGGCCCCCCAAAAATTTTGCGCTGCTTCGTCGCCTTCTTTTTCTTTTGGTCTTCTTCACTCTCCTCGGCTTGTGAATTCATTCCTCCTGGAACGATATTTAAAAATGTAGGTAATCGGAGCTAGTTCTACTGTGTTGTTCGGCCCAGTGTACCACACCGTTTTGAGAAGCCCTTGTTGCACTGATGTTTTGATGATTTGGTAAGGCCCCTGTAGTGTGAAGCAGATCCTGGCAGGCCTTTCCGGATCAAGACAAAGTCATCCACCCGTAGCTTTGGAAGCTCAGTGTTGTGTCACTTATCAAGATGCCGTTTCATCTGGTAGCAATAGTTTTCTCTTTGACCATCAGACTTTCAGGCTGTCAGCAGGCTGCAGCGGAGCTTTTCCCGAGATCACGAAAAGAGGACCGCATCCCAACCCTGCCGTGCAGGACCGATTATTATGTGCTACACCAGCCTCAAGAGAACATTTCCAGCCACCTGGAAAGTTGGGGTACATGTTCATATATTGTTTTATGTCTCGAATGGCGTGCTCCGCTAGGCCATTTCCCAAAGGATGATAAGGTGCCGTGAATCGCAGGGCTATCCCGTGGTCTTCTTCCTATCCTTTTAGTTTGCGGCTACGAAAGGCTGGTCCATGGTCCGAAACGACGACCTCTACGTTGTGATACACTTCTCTTCTCAACAAAGAGATCACGCTGTTACCGTCTTCCTTACCTGATTTTGGTGCCACCATTCGAGTGCACTCGTCGATGCACAGCAGTGCTTGCGTTTTCTTGACACTTTCTCTCTTTTTCTTCTATCTCTGTGAAGTCGAGGTGAAGCACTATAAAAGATGTCTTGGAGTGTTCAGGTAGCGTCATTTTACCTGTAAGTTGTCTGTATTTAACTTTGTACATTTGGCACGCGTGGCAGGATTTCATGTAGAGTCTTGTTTCATCTTTCATGTGAGGTCACGTGAACCGTTTGGTCAGCTTCTTATAAGTCTGCCAGAGCCCGTGATGACCACCTCACTCTGGGCTTGTGTGGTACAATTCTAGAATCTGAGGAATCATTGAGGATGGAACGAGAAGCTTTTCTTTTGTGCCAAGTTCTAGATGTTCTGTCCCTTCCCAGAGTTTTGATGCATTCACGACTTCGGGTGAGCCTACAGGAGACGTAAGCAGAAGTTGTGACATCGCGTCGGCGTCTTTTAAGGAAGCACTTGGACAATGGATTACTTCAAAATCAAACTGCTGCAGCTCATTGATCCAACGAGCTATTTGTTTCTTCGGCTCAGTCATTTTGAGTAGAAAGGTGAGTGCTTCATGTTCACTAAAGAGTTTGAATTTTGAACAAAAATATCTAACCGCCTTCATTACCGCCAGGACTTCTTTCCCTGTGGTGGTGTAGTTCACTTCAGTCTTCGTGAAAGTGGAACTCTGGTATCCCACGACGTATATCTGTTGGGACGCAGGTTTCTCGATGTCACGTTGGTAAGCACTGCACTTGTTGCGTAGTGTGAAGCATCTGTGCTGAGCTCGAATGGCAGATTGAAATCTGGCAAGTGGAGTACAGGGTCGGATGAGATGATCCTGACCGTGACAAGGCTCTGATACGCGTCTTCGCAGTCCTGCGTGCAGTCGAACTCTGTTTCTTTCTGAGTCAACTTGGTCAGGCAGCCGCTTTTCGTATCATAGTCCAGGATGAATGATCTGAAATGTCCTGCAAGGTCGAGAAACACACGGAGAAACTTCTCGTCGTAGGGCTTGATAAGTTGGGAAATACGGGCAGCTGACACTTGTTCCGTATTTTTCGTTGCTCCGTCCGGAACTGTGCCTAAAAAACAACTTTGCTCTTAAAAAGTTCTCTTTTCTTGAAGTTGACCTTGAGGTTGGCCTGCCAAAGTGCAGACAAATCTTGTGCCAGATGCTGTTTGTGTTCGCTCTCTGTCTTTGAGTATATGATGATATCAACATAGACATTAAAGAATTCACCAAGGTAAGGCTGGAGGACGGCGTTCATCATCTTTTGGAACCAGCTGGGTGAAGTTTTCCATTAAAAGTGCAGGCGATTATACTCATAGATGTTGAATGGCGTTATAAACGCTGTGAACTTCTTGGTGACCTCTTGAAGATTCAACCGCCAGAACCCTTTACACAGATCAACCCCAGAGAAGTACTTGCAGCCTCCTGTTTCATCAATTATACTGTCGATGCGAGTCACTGGAAAATAAATGAGGGATGTTCGTTGGTTCACTGCTCGGGAGTCTGTGGTAAGGCGAAATGATGGGAGAGGCAAATGGAGAAACAGAAGGCCGTATGATGTCAAAATCCAGCAGGTTCTGTAGCTCTTGTTTTAGGCACGTCTTCTTTTCTCACGTCAGGTTGTAAGGTTTTTTCTTCGCTCCAGTTTTCTCTTCAAGCTCGAACGGTATTTCAAACTTGGAAGTACACCGTGGATATACCCCTACCACACCATTTCTGGATATGTTTTAGGCATTACGTCAGTTAACTTGAGGTGCGAAAAGTAGTGGTGTTACCTCCTGAGTCGGTCGGGCATCCAGGTGGTGGGCCAACAGAAACCGCGTCGTTCCAGTAAAGATTCAGCTTCAGTTGTTTCATGTCTGGGCGCGACAAAAGAAAATCGTACTGCACCCCGTCGACTGCCAAGGCTTGGGTGTCTGATGCGTGAGACTGGAACTTGACTTTCACGTTCACCCATTTGAAGTGTTGCCTTGTGTGGCCATCGGAGCTCGGAACAAAGACTTGCCTTCCTTTAAGACTTGGGGAGATCTTCTCTTTCTTGATGTTAGGAATGGAAGATCCCGTATCTACAAAAGCCTGCATTTGTCCATTTACTGAAAGCTGGATAGGTAGCGAACATGGAAAAGTTAAACACGTAGTCTTGATTTGGATCTTAGGGTTATACTGCGAACCTTTTTTATTCGTTTTTTGAGTTCTCACTGTGGATCGCGGATGTGGACTGAGACACTTCAGCTTCCACGAAGTGCACTCCAGACAAGTGAAATGGAGTCCGCGGAGCCTGTTCAGCAGCTTTTTGCTCCACTGTTGACGTCTCCCGGGAACACAGGCTGTACCAAAGCTGGTCATAGGTTGTCTACGCCACCGGTCACTTCTCCCAGGACTAGAGGTCTGTGGTGCTGGAGCGCGAGAGTCCGCTGCCGCTCTGTTATCCAGGCGGGTAGAAAATCTCGCAAAGACTGTAGCAAGTTCTAATGGTCTTGGGTGCCCTCTCTTTGATTTGTTTTTGCAATTCTTGTGATAGCCCACGAGTGACAAGCGCAATGGCGGCGGTGGGGGTAGTTTAGGCTCGGCAAGCTGAAGGAGCGTTCTCTTTTCGAACAAATACTCCAGAAGAGTACCAGACCAAAGTTTTAAATGGAATAGCGTGGCTTGCTACCACCTTTCCACAGCATTTCCTTAGAACGTAGTCAAGAAGTTGGATTTCCATTCGTTTCAAGGCTCGTCAGCGTGGCCAACCAAGCGTAACTTGTACCATTGCTTGGCTACTCCTCCCAGGAAAAGGTGCATGTTTTGCACGTGGTCTCGTTCTGAAGTCCAGGAATTTTTCTCGCAGGCGTACTCGAACAAAGCAATCCAACCTTCCGGACTATTTCATTGCTCGTCAATGTCTGGCTTTATCACCTCGTATCTGGGCCTTTTATTTTCCGCGCTGAGCGTTGACATAAAGCTCTGCGTAATGACGTTTTGTTGTGACATTTGCTGCTGTTGAGCATGATTTGCTTGGAGCACTGCTGTCACATCTGAATTCGGAGACCCTTTGGAACCGTAGGTGCTGGAGTCGCCACTCACTGCAACACAAGCTTGTGAAAGACAGCCCTCTGTATGTTAATCTAGACTGACCCCTTTTACATCAACTCCTTCCAAGAAATGGTACCTTTCTGGAGGACGAGTTCGATGAGCTCCGGAGATGGGACATGCTCTGGCAGCTCCCCGTCTGGTTCATCTTAAACTTGATATCGGTTAAAAACCACTCGGTCTATGTTCCGAGCTGCAGCAACAGCATTGTACCCACATGTGCTGGATCCTGTCGACTGCGTCAAATTATGTAATGTTCCGAAGAATTTTCAAAACGCATCTATCACCATCTTAATCCCCGACGTTCTCCTGTTTCTTTTTTTTACCCCCCCCCCCCCCCCCCGAGATCTTAAGCTGCATCGTCTTCTTCTTTTTGGCCTTCTTCAATAATAATAATAGTTTTGAATACAAATATCTTTAATGTAGGTCACCCTGTTCTTGAAATCACGTTAGAACTTGTATCCAGGGCCTGGCGTCCTGCAGATTTCATTTATATAATGACAAAGCACGACTGTTAGCATGACACTTATAAAAGAAACACCGATTTCGAATGCAGAATTGCACTCTTACGGAAGCTAGCTTTGATTTACCGTTTACCGTTGTGTGGCCGGCCACACAAAGCAAATATGATATAAAATAAAATTTAAAAAAAACAAAAACGAAGAGGTTGGTGGAAGGACTGGGAGCTGCATCAAGAAGGGTTCACCAGTTGCTTCGCTGACTCTTTCTGTGAACTTTCTGTCTAGATTGCATAAGAATGAACACCGTTTTTGTGCAGGAGAGGCTTTCTGTGACTGTGAGTTGCGTAAAAGTTCTGAAAATACTAATTCACGGTACACGATACATTGCCCATTTAAATGCCTTTCAAAAGTGCGGGAGGTCTAGCAATAAGGAATTTATACCTTTACTAGCAGCAAGTGGCCTCACAATGACACAGACATAGGTCACATACATCTAAACATATCCCTCCATGCGACAATATTTTAAATCTATTTGCAGGTATCTATTCAAATGGTGAATCAAACAAGACATATCTGCTCTGGATCTCTCATAACAGCGGAAGTTGTTCTGACCGCCGCACATTGTCTGGAAGAGTGAGTTAGAGCTTTAGAGTAGTCTCTAATATAATAAAATTAATTTTGTTTCCACATCTCAGCCAGCTTCCAAGAAAGTTCAAAGTGATAGCTGGGTTCACCAATAAAATGGAAAGCAGTCCTTTTATTCAAAAACGCTTTGTGAGTATTTTTTCCCCTAAAATATCGCAGACGCGCGCCTAAATGAACAGCCTTGTTGTGCAAATATTACGGACTTTTGTTAGATATGGCTGGCATGTAATGACGGGTCCAGCATTTCGTTTTTCCAAAAAAGCACGAACGGCAGAAACATAATACAGTTTAACTTTCTTACGTTTATAGTCACATCAGCGCAAGTTTACAAGATAGATGTTGTGGAATAGTATAAGGTTGTTTTCAGGTTATCGGTAAAGATTCAGTATGACCAACATAGATAAATTATGACAAGTTCGTTACATGTTTTCAAAGATATTAAGACATTTTTTAATATCGGGCTCCGATACTCATCGTCCGATAACATTGCTATTAAAAATGCATAAAATTAGATGATGTCAGGAAACAATGTGACACACCTGAAGCCCGGCTTTGGAGACTAGCTGTAAAATAAAACGCTGTGTATAAAAAAGAAGCGGTTTGCTAGGGTGTGCAGCGCATCTTTCAAAACAACTTTAGCAGCACTGGCAAAACGAAGAGTACTGCCCCTTGTCCATCTGCATATAATTTGACAAAAGTTTATATTTTTCTGAATGAAAGTTATTCACTTCAGTGATATTGACGTTTATAGCACATGTTCGAAGAAAAACAGCATATTCAGGAAGCAAAAGTCAGTTTCATGGTTTCAAAGTTGCTGATGAATATCAAACACGAACAGTTTATATCCCTATACTTGAGGTTTTTTCTTTACCTGCGTGTTATGGGAGAGAGGCAGTTTAGCATGAGCATTAAGAACATATTTTTTATCATTTTAGGTGTTAAACTATTACCTTCACGAGCGTTTCATTGACGACATAGAACATGATTTAGCGATCATCAAGCTAAAGAAACCGTTCAGCCTCTACCGGAGCAATGGACACATCGCACCTGTCTGTCTTGCTCGTCAAGGAGAACGGGTTCTGAACAATGTAGACGTCGTCGCATGGAAAATGGAATCTGAAGGTAAATAAGAGCGGCGATGGGGATTTTGGAACATTGTTCAAATGTTTCATTAAGAGATGAAATATGAAACGAATGAAAACATTATTTTTTAGAAAATGCTTAAAGTCGAGGTCAAAGTTTCTTTAAGGAAAACAGAGTGGCATGTTCAAACATTAAACAAAAGTGTTTTAAAATGCACTCTCTTACATAAAGTAATAGCAAAGGCAGTGAGAGCTAGGCTGGTTACCACAGGAAAACAATAAACAACACAACCATCACTTTTTAAGGAGATATTGACGGATTTGTAAAAACAATATTTGAATCCGCCTTATTTTTTATGCGCAGATATATTTTTGAAGCGCAGTGAGAAACTGTTAAATTCATACCTGTGCTATCAACATTTAGGTTGATTCATTAAATCAGGGATATCTATAACGGTAATTTGGAATAAACTAGATTTGTAAATATCGTATTATACTTTTAAAGACTGACTTACTGCATCGGTTGTTTGCAAGAACAACCATCTGTCTAATAGACAGAGGTTTGTACGTTATCGGATGACACACACCACCTTATGTTTGCCCTTCGGGTGTGCCTATGGAGCCCGTACGACACAAAACTCTTCTTAATGTTGCATAAATAAGTTTAACATGTGTAATAAGCTTTTGGTCATTTCAAATATGAAAATCATATCAAACTGTCTAGGCAGTTCTTATCTCGGAAAAAAGTGTGAAATGCTTATTAACAATATTAAATTATCGCATTTTCAATGTTGTCGGAACATACTAATGCAACGGTGCTGGCGAGGTGGTTAAGAAGTGACATTTTTCAGTTCTGGTGAGTGGGAAAACGGGAAGACAACACTACAAAAACACAATCTCGAAACGCAGCTGAGATTTATTTATCGCAGGAAAACAGTGCAAAAAGTGTAGGTTGTCTATTTGAGGTTATGTTTTGTAAAATAAACCTCAGAATTGTTTGGAGGTTCGTGCTGTCCTGTCCTTCTGTTTTCCCACTTTTTAGAGATAAAAAAAATGCCGGAACATGGTGATGCTCAATGCTTCTATATGCTCCAATAGTCTAGAAAGGCTGGTGCTATGAATATGTGTAATCAGTTTGGCAATATCTGGTTGCGAAAAGTCGACTGCCCACCTGCTCTTGACGTAATATAGAATATGTTTGTCTTATAAATTACACGTTATAGCAATATCATAACTGGTGTGTAATTTCTAGGATTACGTTATTGGTTTTTTCGTTTAGCGATCACAGTTAAGCGTTTAGTTGATTGGGTCCAAGCTGGAGCTTTTCTTTGACGACTGAAACTAAATTCGGCGAACGTGTCAAGCGATGATAGCAAAGTTCACAAGCGTTCATTTTAATTGAAATAGTCATGATATCGACCGCATTTGTAGTACCAATATACTCAACTTCAGCAACAAAGTAAATTGCCTTTCTTCGAGTTTAACAAGACGCGAGCAAGTCATATTTTGTTGCAAATCCTTCACTTGATTTTTGTTTACGTCAGCAATTCGGAACCCAGTTGCGAGACAATTTTTTTTACAGTTTTCAACTTTTTTTTTGTAGTCAGATCATCCTAGCACGTCTCATGACATCCACATAACTTGTATAACAACCTCGGTTTAACAGATATGGACGGTTTTAGCTCAACATTTGTAGGCATTTATGCTTCTTTTGTATACTCTCTACACTTCCTCATGTGCATCTTTGCCAAAGCACCAGCTGTCGATGAGAATGCAACAAAATCAAAATGAAAGAAGCAAATGATGAATTAATCAAACTGAGGGTACTTTTTTCTGACTTCGAATTATTGCGTATTGGTTCGAAAAATCATCATGAAAAAAAACAAAAAAAACAACAGAAGTATCCGTTTTTGCTTCCCTACTAGTACCACTCTCTTGTGAGAGAAGAAAAGAAAATGCCAAGAAGAGTTGCTGAACGCGCACATGAGGAAATTTAAAGTACGTTAAATGTACACTGGATGTTTAAACCTCAGCGAATATATCGGCCGCCAAATCGCATATTTTAAGAAAAAGAAGTGCTCCACGAAACATATTTTGGTTGAAACTTGCACCAAGTTACATTCTATGACAGCAATATTTAAAGAAGACTAAGATTTTGAACAACATGACTATCAGCTCACACCCAAGCTTGGAGCTGGGTTTATTGATATAAGTCATCTATGTGTCTTGAAGGGTTTGAAGGCCGCCAGGAATGCAGCTTACGTCCATAGTATGTTCGCTATTGACAAATGTCGCCACGATGATACTACACGCTGAGCATTCGCGTCGCATGTGCCCAGGTGTAGCTAGAAATGACATGGCGCTTTTCGCCTGAAGTCTGTGGCCAACCACCACCTGTAATCCTTGAAACATGGCCGTCATATGGATGCACACAGGTAATCGGGGATGGGGAAAGAACTTTTAAAAGGAGACATGTTTCAGCCTAACACTCCCAAAATGCGAAGCGTCTACTTTCCTAGCGAGCATTCTGAATGGCCATCGGTTTAGACTTCTAAAGAGTGTGTACGCGGTTAATCACTGAGCATGATGTAAGCACGAGAAACGCCATGCTAAGTTTCAGAGAACATACGAGTTTTGGGGGGCTAAATATATTTAAGCCCCGTGATTCGCCTATGCTCTCACCACCTATTGCAGCGATTGGCTCTTGCATTGCTTTCTGGCCAATTCGACGCTCCAGAGTTTTTAGAGTAAGAGTTCAAGCTGTCATGAAGCACCTACCTTTGTTGCGAAACGTCGGCTGCAACTACGAGGCTTCCATTTGTTGAACAATCATGACAGGTCCCGCAAAAGTTATTTGGAGCGGAAAACTGATGTAAATCTACAAATTATAACAGTTTACACGCTGCTGCTTAGAAAACCGTGATGACAATACAGGGAGGTCAGCTTGGACATTAGACAAACAGCAAGAGAACAGACAAAACTACACATAGTTCCCCCTCTTTGTGTTTATATAATGTTCCAGCTGACCTCCCGCTACTGACATGTGCCAAGTAGCCCAACTTAAACCTGTTATTTCGTGATACCAATTGGTAATATTGAACATCACACTAAGTGCATTAGGGATTGATTGACCGGAACTTTGAAAATAAACCTTTTTACGACGTGATGTACGGTTTCAAAAATGCATTTCGGTTGAAACGCTCGATCCGAATAATAAGCGTTTGTAGCTTGGATATGCCGAAGACTTTCATCTAAACGAAAGAGACAATAATCAGAATGTTTTTCCAATAATAAACCAACAGAGTGTATCCAGGTTATTGTCAGGGTCTTAAGTCTTTCTCAGGAAAAAAAAAAAAAACGGACATTGATTATGAACAGAAGTTCACAAATAGCTATGCTGAACATTAATTCCATTTATTTACTCCGGAAATATGTTATCGGACTGCAAGCAGATGAATCTTCAGGTCGATTTCTTCGCACGATCACACTTCCCATAAGAAAAGGAAGTAGGTGCAGGAGTGACGTTTATTACCACAACGACCGAACAACATTCTGCGCTGGGCCCAAGAGAGGAGGCAAATGCGTGGTAAGCGACAGTTTACGCTCGTCATTGGATCCAAATAAGTCTTCTTTTACTTGATGATTGTTGACGAATAAGCTGTGTGTGTTCTAAAAAAATCTTTTAGCGACTAAAATTCTTCTGCACGTGTATGGAGTTCATACATGTACGCTCATATAACAAATAAACTAAGCCCACGATGCATTCTTCAGTTATTACTCCCGAACATTGCATCGTTTTTCGTTTTTTTTTGTTTCACAAAGTTGTTTTAGATCAAAGTTAGAATTTTTTATAAGTTAAACAAATACTGCGTCTGGATTTGTTACAATGCGTTATTCAAGCCACTGCATTTGATGAAATTTCAAGACTTTAACCCTAATACCTTGAATTTTAGGAGGACTCCGGTGGCCCAGCGGTTCAGGAAGACTATTTTAAGGTAACGCAAGTTGGCATTCTATCGTACGGCAAGATTTGTCATAGTCAACTGGGATTCTTCGTCCGATTAAGCAATTACATTGACTGGATTGAAGAAAAGTTGAACACCATAAAATCGTGAGAATGCGCAATTGCTTTAAATAAAAGAAAGTTAATGTTTATACCGATATTTTCTTCATTAACGGCCTTCATGTGTTTCGGATAAAAGAATGTTAGGTACAAAGGCAGGGCTAAAAACAATATAAGACATGCAACTGTTCCTTGCCAACAAAGTTAGAAAACGTGATTGAAACATGCGTACTGTAGTTGTGTCCTATGGTTTAAGACAAACTTTAGAGTGACATCTGCGCGTTTCATTCGTTTCTACTTTTCTTATGAGCGCCTGAAAGCGGTTCACTGGGAATAGTTTATATAAGGGTCAAAAAGGCGAGGTTCAAAAGAAAGTTCAAACTCACAAGCAAAAGAAAAAAAAAAAAGAAAAAAGCAATTCCTCACTACTGCCTAAGGAATACATTGATTGGGGTTCAGTAGCTTCATGTTAAAGAACAGAGCTAGACACATAAAAATAATTCTCTTATGGAGAGGACCATGGATTACGAACAATAAAACTCACTCTAAAATTGCCTGCAAATCCATTTTTCTTGTAATGACCGAGATGTCCGACATATGCGAATAACGAAAGGATCCCGAGAATGACAAAACTTGAAAATATGATTTTTTTTAATCATGATTAAAACCGTTAAAAAGATGAATGCAAGAGAGAATACAAACAGGAGTACCCGTGTTAGTCTTCTCTCTTGAGTTCGTCTTTTTATCGCTTTTACCCACGGTTCAGAACGTTCATCACCGACTAGTCCCAAAGCAAGAACTCTTGAAAATATGATTTGGCTTAAAAAAGGGGACGTGCGCAGGCAACGCTTGTTTTGCAAAACGTGCAGATCACTGTTCCTGAGCACTTGACTACATGTGACTTCCGCTTTTGGCTGTCAATTGTACATTCATCGCCTTAAAGCAGACAAAAAGGTATTACTGAATGTTCGTACCAAGCTGCAGGTAAAGAGAAGCATGTATTTTTCGTGACACTGGGTGGCACGGGAGGATTTGTTCTCTTCACTTGCGTATTGTAGAATTGGCGTGCCAACACACACGAATCATTCGCTGGTCTGCAATCCCTTGGCCATATCTGCCGTAATTATGAGCCTTAGCAAAACTAGATTATTTGGTGTTTCGTAATCGATTCCCGCCTAACCTCACCTCACCGCCTAACAATGGCGAAGGAAGAATACTACGTCGGTATAACGAAATAATCGAATTGCCTCAAGAATGAGAGCAAACCATCCAGTCAGAGGGACGTTTTTGGGCACCGTACATTGAGTGCACGATCTCGCCATTTGAACTTAATAGGGAGTTTTAGGGAACCGTTTTTGCACGTCCGAGACGATACGATGGTGCCTCCGGTACGAACTGCACCTATGAGAGTCTTCTGTGGTAGAGCACGCGGGAGTGCGTACCGCAGGGCCCTTCGTACCATTTTGGGGTATCCACACAAAGGAGAAATCCGCCACTTTCCTCCGCGGATCGTGCGTTAGGTGAGATATACGTCATTAGTTTTTGACTCCTCGCGGCGCAGTCCTCTTCTGTAAAGGAGGCGCGGAGGCTTCGTTCTGTCAGCACGCAAGCTCCGCGGATGGGCGGCGGTGTAGTTCGCATTTAGCTGCTTTTCGCGACACTCGTTTGCTTTTTCTGGCCACGAGGGTCCACCGCGTTATTTTCGAGCTTACGGAATCGCCTGTGCCATTACTGTTGTAGTAGCGCGGTGTTAAAATGGCAAAGATGAATGACGACGCTGATAGGCGAACGCGGGCCAGTAGTTCAACGAAGACCTCATGGGGGACCCGAAGGAATCTTGGATACTCCACGGAGTCGCTATCTAGCAGCTCTTCGTACAACTGTTTTTCTATACGAAGTTCTTTCTTCTCCGTCCAACCTTTCACCCAGAACTTTTTTTTAGTAGGTAGAGTGTCGTCGTCGTCCGTTTGCAGTCTGCTCTTAAGATCACGGAAGACGATAAGATACGCGACTCTGCGTTCAGCGCATCAAAAAAAATGCTATTTGCGCCTCGATTTCTAGAATCCTTCATCTAAAAAAAAGAAAACTTAAAATTCTAGCATTTATGAGCAGCGAAACCTTAAGTTAACTTCACTGTTTCTTTTTTGTTTTAATTTATGTAGTTTGTTTATTTCATATCGCGGGGAAAAACGAACGTAAAAAAATACAGCTTTGTTAGGTATCCGGATTCTAAAGGCACACTAAAAGTCTCTGTGTTACAAATGTTAAAATCTTTTTCTTTTATTTTCTTCAAAGAAATTTGTAGCGTTTTGACGCACATCTGTAAACTTAGTTCAGAGCACTTCTTTGGACGAATACCTGCTCTTCCCCGGGCCACATAACGCCCTGTCTTGTCCACACTTCGACGATATCGGTGTGGGACAGCTTCCGCGAAATGTTCTCTTCCAACCTAGCGTTCATTTCGGGAGTGAAGAATGTCTTGCACTCACCAACGGGACCGCCAGTCCCGGGACGACACTGACACGCTTTATGTACATTTTTTAGTCCCTCCGGAACATCTTCGTTGGTAATCGGCTCCGCAAACAAAGTTTTAAAATTTTAATCGGCGTATTGCTTTATGAGTTTTATGCTGCTGAGTTCCAAGACGTTCTCGAGTATGCCTTTATTTTGAAGAAGCACTGAGTGGTAATCGTTGCCCATGAACTTGACGATTTCGAGAACGTGATAGCCGGTGATAACTGAAGTCAGCGAAACTGTTTCTTCCTCTCATAAATATCTGAAAGAAATCTTGGAATTGCCCGTGTTCGTATTTGTAGGCGGCCATAGTGCGAGTATGAAGAAAAAAATGAAACGGAAAAGTCCTTCGGGTTTCTGCAAACGTAAATGTACTTGACCCTGTAGTCCCACGGCGTCAGGCGGTGGGGCAAGTGGGTCACTATGAGTCCAGGGAGTTTCATGTCCTCGATGACCTTAGCACGTACCATTTCGAGCGTAGGGTTTCTCATAAAGAGGTCCAGGGCACGTAGACGGTGGCACTCCTTTAGTGTTGATCAGGTAGAGGATGTGGCTGGCCCAAAATGTACCACATTTGGGAAATGTGGCCAAGAAAAGATCGTTGGCACGGGGACGGAACTTAATGGCGCTTCGGACTAGATTCGGCTTGAAGTTTATGCTCATTTTAAAATTGTCTACTTCCGCGTATGCTGGACCCTCAGCGGATATTATTGTTGGGGCCTCCATCGGCATTTATCTTCTTCAAAGAACTTGTTTGCGACTTATGACTAAATGCGCGTAGCGTGAATGGTCAGTTCAGTTGGACTTGAACGATCAGTGAACCAGTGCCTCCTTTGTAGAAAAAAAAAATAAGTTGTGATTTTCGCACCTCCATAATGAGGTACAGAATAAAAGTAATACATATTACCAAAAACATTGTTTTCACCAGATCTTCCGGGATATAATCACGTGCGAGTTTAATATGCATGAATATTGGAGCATAAAAAGAAAGAGCAGCATGGTGACGTGTGTGCAGCTGTCGAATGCATATACTTTTATACGTCACTACGGCAAAGCGCGTCGTTCTGCGAACAAGTTCAGCTGCGCTTCACGAGTGTTTTGTTAGCACCTGCACAAAACCATTGGCGATTTCAGCCTGGACTGCAAACCAGGGCGATGAGCGAGCATTAATTTAACTCAGCAAACCTCAACAGATTTTTGAAATGATTCGGAAGGCTTATGGCAATAACGCAGTGGGTCATGCAAGGTGTTTCGAGTGACACTCGCGAGATTTAAGAATAGAAGAACATCTTGGGGAATACGATGAGCGGTAGGGCAACACCGCCTAGAAGACAAGGCCGCTGTGTTGACCTTTTTGCGCCACCTGTGAAGGGCGACGCCGGATACAGATTTGAAACGAGGGCTGCGTCAACACACGGCTTCGAGTTAAGTGTGAACCCAATGTTGACGCAATCGTCGTGCGCAATCTGTGCACGGCGTTGGCCTTTAGTGGTGACATCTCATTCAGTACCACGCTTTTGTTATGTAAGAGGGGTAGGGCGACCTTTTCCACCCTTTTTATGCCTTTCGGTGATGTTCTGCCACATTGAAGCGCGAGTGCCACTCAAAACACCTCGCGCGTCTGCTTTAGTATCTTGGCGTCACCGTACGCAATCTCATTTCCTCTCTCTTTCAGTGTATCTCCGGATAAACTCTGGGCCTTCTTGCGCCATTTTTCTTTCCTACCCTTCCCTCTTTTCATAAAGAGTAGCTGGCCACAAACATTTTCGGGGCATGTCTTTGCAAATTGTTTTTCTAATGATAAAACAGGCTACTCTCCCTTGCATGCCCCCCGGGGGGTTAACTAGTGACGTTGGAAGTGTACGTAAAGTTTAGACGAGCTTCTCATAGTTTCGCAACGCGACGAACTTGAAGCAGCTGGATTGCACCCTTACTCAGTTTTAGTGGGGGACAAAAACTAAAATGGCCTAGATATGCAACATCGTGTAAGCTATTACCAAAATCACTTATCGTACGTCATGAAGTCTGTCTTCACATGGTCATGGGGGCAGTTATATATATATAGCCTTCTATGCTCTGCTGGAAATGGCTAAAGTGTGATTGAACATTATTAGGTGAGCTTAGACATTCAGCTTGCATCCTCCTGACAGCGGAACTGACCGCTGCAGTTTGGACCTCTATAGAATAAATTTTGCTTCAAACTTGCTTAAAAAAGTGGCTTTATTTTTACAAATTCACATTAGATTTTGGAAAAGTTCATTGCGAGACCTTGGTAGGGCGATGCGTAACAATAGCGGCGGAAGTGTCAAACCGTTGAGTGAACGTAGCTAAAAAAAAACTGTTAGCAAAACAGCTGACGAGCAACAGCTCCAGGCCGCCTTGAATGTACAACTCGTTTCTACTTGTACTTGGCCTTACGTACAAATCACTTAAATGTGTAAGAAGCAAAAAAAAAAAAAAAGAAAAGAGATCTTAATCTTGGGGGACTGTTCTCAAACGATAATAACTTAAACAGAAGGTAAAGTGTCTCGTCCGTGT